TAATAATATTAGAAATAACTTTTATTTGAACAATTTTTTTCTCCAAACATTAATAACAGATATATTCCATAAAATATAAAAACGGCCCCCTATAAAGTACCCCCCAGATGTTCCGACTTTGTCCAAAACTTTTCACGTTAGGCCGAAATAAAACTAAATAGTCAAAACGGATTCAGGGGACCTCAAAACGTAAAAATCCGTCGAAAACTCGAGGTAAAAAAAAATCATGATTCCTATACTTTCCTTATATCTGTATACAGATAGGAAAGTAAAAATCAGTCTAATTCCGGCGTTGACTTGTAACTTGTAAATAGTAGTTTTCTTATATAAAATTATAAAATAAATGATTTATATATAAATTCTTTGCTTTCTGAGAAGCACAAGTAATTTTTGAACCTACTAAATAAATTTCAGAACAATAAAGATGTACCTATCATTAGAGAATTTTATAAATTGAAGGGGAAACTAGTTTTCTACCTATATCCAGCAATACAATACTCTTTACTTTATACAAAGATCTTAGAGTGAGAAAGGTTCTTAGCTCGTAAAAAAGCGAAAGGGGATTGAACATATCTAAAGAGTTAGCAAATGTTTTGTCATGCTGGATTAATAGATTACGTGATAGTATACATGCGTGTAGATTTCTTTGTGTAATGGGACTTTGTTCAGAATCTGAACAAGAGTATCATAAATTGTCTACAGCTTTTATCAGTTTTGTTCAGGTTAAAATGTTTTACAGCCGAAAAACCATTAATTAATATACTGTACCGAGAAGATAACATTGTGGCTACTATTTAATGTGTTAACCTAATTTGAAGGGTACAATATCCCAAGTTAAATACTCTTGCTCATACAATATGGCATGGTGTGAACCGTTGCCTCTTTATATTTTTCAAATTTAATTATCGAGCTGATAAAGCTTTTCGTTATTCAGAATGGTAGACGGAATGGCACAATATTTTCTGGTAAAAAGACTTTTTAGAAGTATTTTTGGTTTAAGACCAGATGTGCTTAAATAAGAAAAAACGTGAGTCACAAAAATGTAGTGTCGAAACCTTACCCATAAATTAGCAGTGTTACTGGTCTTGTTTATTGGTTAGCACATTCAAATTTTATAGTCATAGAGATGAAGAATATTGTCAGAAAAGAACAATAAATTCAGATAAAGGTAACAAAAAGATTAAAGATATGAGCTAACAATAGAGCATTCCATGCTAAATCTTCCGTTTTCTTTTATATAGACTCTGGTATTTGCGTAGAAAACATTAAATACCTAAGGAGTAATTGTGGTAGCCTGTTCATTATAATTAGGAAGCCGCATCATGCTTCCTCCACGCAGACCATCAGCAGATGGATGAAGTTCATTTTGAGTAAGTGTTATGAAGCAATTTACCTCTTAGAGCACATGCTATATCTCTACATCTTCAGTTTCTAGAAAGTGGGTCAATTATGATAATAGCATTTTTTAACTTGCAATAAGTTAAATATAATTAAAATGATCTATCGTAATTTTTGTTGCAACATGCTTTAAACAGCGACGTCTTATTTACGAGACGAGGCAGAAATATAATTATAAAATCAAACGAACTTACCTGAAGTGAAGTTCGATCTTAATTATATGATGCCTCGTCGAAGTAAATAAGTCCCAGGCCGACTCAATATTTCTAAAGTCCCCTTTAAGTTGCAACAAGTATGCTATCAAATGACTAAAGCAAGGTATTGAGATAAGGGGATCAGCGGAGAAGGAAATATAGCAATTAGTTTCAGCTTTCAACTAAGTGGTTGAATCGAAGCATATACAGGGATACGACATCTTATTTACTTCGACGAGGCATCATATAATTAAGATCGAACTTCAGGTAAGTTCGTTTCATCTCATAATTAACTTTTATATGTGATTATGTTGCTGCCAGTCCGGATGGAATTTAAAACACAAAACAAAGGTCTATGATAGAGTTAAAATCTCCATAAGGAGCTAGAGTGCTGACTGTAGAAGAAGAAATATGCAGTAGACAAATAACTTTTTGAAAAAAGGACAATACCATTAAGGAGAACCACAATTAGTATTTTCAAATTCAGGGCTAGCTGCACATTACACAAGTGGCTTTTTGCATTTGGACTCCTCGAGGAATAAAAGTGGGGAAAATTCCTCTTAATGACAGCTTTTGGGAAGAAAATTCAATTTTTTATATGCCTTACCAGAACTAGTTGACAGCAGAGCTAATAGAGACTTGGAAGTACGGGACAGAATACCGAATAAATTGTGATACATTTTGTTTAATTTTTATTAACATGACGCAAGGAATCTTAAATTATTTGAAATATGATTAGAAGTTTTACTAGACAAGGTTTTGTGCCAAAGCCAAGCCCGTGTATTGTAAAACGCAGATGAGTAACTATATCATCAATAGAAATTGAAAATTCACATATGACTCTTTGTAACGTAATTATTTATAACTTTAATAACTTCATACGGTCAAAAATTTTAGCTAACTTATTTAATTCTAAAAATTGAATTTCATTTTAAAAGTTCACTATATTGTTTAGTTGTTGCAACTTTACAGCGCTTAAGTACCGTTCAGATTAAAATATGAATTGATTTATGGAGCTTAACTGAAAAACAGAAACTAATGCTTTCATTCCAAAAAAAGTATTATGGTCAATAAAAGGAATTTCGAAATATGTTATCTTAAAGCCCTTATTTAAAACCTTTAAATAGTAATATTAATAGTAAGTTTGTTGACATTAATATTAATTTCATAATACAAACTAGAATGAAGATATATAATGCTTGGCATTCTATATGATACTCTTCACAGACCCCTTAGCCCCACATTTGTATTCATATTTTTTTAGAATCAATAGCCTTCATCCGCATAGAAAGTTTAATTTTTCCTGAAGATTTCTTGTTGATATCGCTTTTGGCGTTTGATTTCTATTTTTTGATATTTCAATCATCCTTGAGGGTTAACCCTCCATTTTGTTCATTTTTTTTTAATCATAGAATTTGCCTCAATATAGAGCTTGATTTTTGCTAAAAATGTCAAGTTGATATTGTTTTTCGTTTTTGATTTTTTTAAAATATTTCAATCACACTTCATTTTTTAGTATTTTTTTTTTCAAAATCAATAAGCTTCAATCACTTATAAAGCTTGATTTTTCATGAGGATTTCAATTTGATATTGTTTTTTGTTTCTAAATTAGGATTTTTTTTCAATATTTCAACTAGGGGTGGACAAAATAATCGATTATTGCCGATTAATCGATTATTGTCGATTAATCGATTATTTTTTAATAATCGATTACTTATGTTAGATTAATCGATTACTTTCGAATATTCAATTATTTTCGAATAATCGATTATTTAAGAATAATCGATTTTTTCGATTAATCGATTATTTTCAAAAAATCCATTATTTACGATTAATCGATTTTTTAATTAACGATTTTCAATTAACCGATTATTTTCGATTAATCGATGATTCGATTATTTTCGATAAATCGATTTATCTATTATTTTCGATTAATTGATTATATTCGATTAATAGATTAATTTGGATTAATCGAATTTTTTCGACTAATACATTATTTGCGTTAATCGATTATTTTCGATACACTGATAATATTCGATTAATCGATTATTTTCGATTAATCGACAATTTTCGATTTATAGATTATTTTCGATTAATCGATTATTTTTGATAAATTGATTATTTTCGATTTATCGATTATTTTAAATAATCGATTATTTATTTTGAAAATCGCCCTGTCCTAGTTTCAATCCCTTTATCCCCAATTTTTAGTCAGATTTTTTTTCAGTATCAATAGATTTGTTCCCTTCTCGAGCTTGATTTTTACTAAAAATTTCAACTTGATAGCTTTTTTATTTTTGAGTTAGGATTTTTTAAATATTTCAACCCTCTCATTTTAATTCAGAATCAATAGCTTCATCTTCTTATAGAGCTTCATTTTTACTAAAAATTTAATGTATCGCTTTTCGTTTTTGATTTTTTTTTAATTTCAACCCCCTTAACCCCCCCATTTTTAAACAGATTTTTTTCAAAATCAATAGGCTTCATCTTTTTATAGCTTGATTTTTACTAAAAATTTAATGGTCGATATCGCTTTTCGTTTTTGATTTTTTTTTAATTTCAACCTCCTTAACCCCCATTTTTAATCAGACTTTTTTTAAAATCAATAGGCTTTGTCCCCTTATAGATATAATTTTTAGTTTTTAAGTTAGGATTTTTTTTACCATTTCTACCCCCTGGAGGGACAAATCGCCAGATGGATTGAACGACTTCAAGAGTACGACTTTCAAGCAAGATCAAACATAGAGCCGGAATAAGCCACATAAATGCCGTTTCTCTTTCTAGAAGACCGTGCCCAGCAGAGTGCTCTCACTGCGTAGACCAGAATCCAAAGAAAGTGGACTACTAAGAACAACTGCCGTCAATAATGAGTGGGCCCCTGCCAAACTTAGGGAAGAACAAGAGAACGATCCCGTTTTAAAGAAGATGAGACAATGGAAAAAGGAAAATTGTCGACCTACTGGGCAAGAAGTATCAAATCTCTCTCCAGTAGTTAAGTCATATTTGGATCAGAGAGACTCTTTTATCATGGAAGAAGGCTTATTAAAGCGAATATTAGAGAATGATGATGATTCCGAAAATAGAAGACAGTTGGTCATTCCAAAGGCTAGACTAGCCGAGGTACTTCGTCAATTGCACAACAGTCCACCAGGAGGGCATCTCGGTGTTAAGAAAACCCTTCAGAGAGTTCGTGAAAGGTTTTATTGGATGAGCAGTTTCGATGATGTAAAGGACTGATGCAAGAAATGTACCACCTGTGTCATGAGTAATGGACCTCAGCGAAAAAGGAAGGCCCCCATGAAGCAGTACAACGTCGGTAGCCTATTTGAGAGGATTGCCTTAATATTGCTGGACAAGATTTATTGAATGGAAGCTCATGGCGAATTTGATAAAGATGAAAAATAAATAAAAAAATACAAATTGGTGCATTTATTTTCTTAGTGAAAACAACGATACATTATAAATAACTAGTAATAAAATAAAACAACTTAAAATTATCTATCACGACAACTATATCACTAAAAAATATATGGCTACAAGTTCTTACACTAGCCTTGCGTGTATCTTATTTACACACACGTTATCGTTGAGGGTTAATTTCATTAAACTATTAATACTTTTAACTAAGTTAACACATGAGTTCAGAATTTTTGTCTTCTGGCATAAATATCTTCGATAAAGCCGTTAAATAAGGAGAAGTAGCAAAATGTGATTTAAATGTTGTAAAACAGTTATCTAAAGAGTAATCCAAAATGTGAACACTATTCAGTCAATTTATTTTTATTTCTTCATATAGATATGAATGTTTAAAATATGAATTAACAATGTTGATAAATACATTTTTCTGAGAAAGATAATGAAAGGCTATAAAGAAAAATAAACATCAGAGATTGGAAGATGAAACAGATTGACATTGGCGGTATTATGTGATGCTAAAGTGGGTACTAAAAAACATTCAGTAATGTTTAAGAACAAAAATATATATTTTACCAAAACACAAAAGTCATGGAAAAACAAATGATACTATCAAGGATACAAGATAAAAAAGAAACATATTAACAATAAAATATGCCAGAGCATGTTGCTAAACCTGAAATCAGAGTTTTGTAGGTCACAGTCAGGAATAAGATAATAGATGGAACCATGGAACACAGACATACATTGAAAACCACAGCTAGAAAATAGGATTAGAGAAATACCTCAGATAATGTGGCGTGGCGATCTTAAGAACACTTAGTGTCAATTTAAACAACTAACAAGGGAGAGAATGACTTAAAATGTATATGTTCAACACTCAAAGAAACGAATGAATCACAAACAAAAGTACTGCAGTAGAAAAAAAGCGAAACTAAAGTTGAAATGTATCGGCCACAATGAATGTGACCAAGACCAACGATTGAACAAAAAGATAAAATTTTAGGACAAGGAACACAAAAGAGACGATTTGAAGAAATATTTCGGTATAATGTAGCCAAAGGCAGCTCAAAATCCAGAAAGATGGAACAACTGGGAGTCTTCCCATAATGTCAATGGAGAATCTACAAAAATTGCTATCTAATGACAAGGACGAAAAATGAATATGTAATGACCTATACACAAATAGACCTAATTAAAGTTTATATAATGTTAAAATCATGAAACTACTTTTGAATCTCAAAAAGAATAATAAAGACAATAAAAAATATATTTATATGATAAAAATTTTTGGTAATCCTAGTGATTTTCATTTCTAAAAATATTTGAGTTCAAAAATTTAAGATTTTCTAAATCATTTTCAATAGTTTTGATGTAAAGACATTATCGAAGATGTTTTATGGATAATGAATATTTCATGTACCTTCAGACCGTCATCTTTGCCTTTTTCAAATCATTATAAAAATGAGTTTAATGATTAAAAAAAAAAAAATAGTATTAATAAAGGTTATTAAACTGATATAGTTTTAGCCTTAGACAAGTTATCTCAATTAAATGCAGATTTAAGGAAATTCACCCTACAATTGCTTTATTTTATCTTATGATATAGATTTGTACAAAACTAAAAGCATACATTATTAGTTATAGAGTGAAAAATAATAAGTCTTATTAATTCTGATATACAACGTTTCGCAGTTAAACAAAGCACAAAGATAATAAAAAGCCTTTATGAATATACCATAAATATACAGGCAGTTTCTGTAAAAACCAAAATATACATTACACGCCTCCCTTTCTCAACTGTAAAAGAAAATAGAATCATTTATGAATTACACATGATTGTTTAAAAGTAAGATAACAAAATAGTACATCTGGAAACATCAAATAATTGATGTTAAATATCAAGATTAAAGCTATTAAAATTTAAATGAAGTATTGAAAGTTTGTAATACTTCATTTCTAACTGTATACAATTATCTCGCCATACATGATATTCTTTGTAGAAGGTAAACGTGATTCTAGAGAGTAGAGTATATAAGTACATTCGTTTCGAAAACTATTCGGATTAAATTTTTTGTTTTTATCTTGTCGGAAAATTTAGCTGATTATAAAAGTGCAGTGTACCGATTGGCACCTTGATAAGATATTGCTAGGTAATTTTTTTAACTGGATTTTTTGTAATGTGCCAACACAGCTAAATGTTTTGTTGTTGTTTGATTCCTACCAAAATTGTATGAGTTATGATCCACAAATGGCATTTTGTGTTTGATAGTGAAGGTTTATTGTTATAATTTGATTTGGCTTTTTGTGACTTTATTTTGATGTGGCAAAAATACACTAGCCGAGATCCGATGGCAGTTGTTTAAAGAAACGATGACAGGAGTTAATAATTCTAGTCAACCTAACAGTAGTAAATAATAAGTTCTTTGGAAAATTATTAGATACAAGATGTTTTCACCCACGAGTGATGCGAAATTGTCGGAAAACGAGAAAGGTGTATAGATCTTGTAAATGTCTTTGGACTACTGTAATGTTCCCCAAAATAGTAAACTGTTTTCCGGTTAATTGTTATCGTTTCTGTTACGGTATATGGCAATGTTGGTACATGACAAAAGAAAGGTTTTTTTTTATTTAACACCTCCTTGGCAAATCCAGTTGCCCAGCAATATAATTATTTATTTATGTATATTGTCATATATTTTTTTTATCGATTTTAACATTATACATTATTTTATATACTTATTATCAAACTATTTAAATATTTAAATTGATGGAACGTAATAACATTAAACGTTCCACTTATGTTTAGTGCTTTTGCACCCAATAAAAAATGCTTGCAAGGGCAATACTCTTAGTTGAGAGTCATACAAAACATTTTGATAGAAATTAAACCACTTTTTGACTTTTGATTCCGATTTTACACCTACTTCAAAAATCCCAGAATCCATACACCGAAAGTAGCAAAACCGGACGACAGAAAATGGTTGCAAAGTTGTTATAGGCGCATAGAAGGATATTTCATTGCCAGCATCAAACGAAAAAATCCATCGATAAACAACGTTACTTTAAATTTTGCAGATCACACGACAGTTTCCACCACCGGGACATAGTGCATGTTGTTCGCCCCCTTCCCTTAATCCCAACTACAAATAGCAAACAAAAAACATGACGTACCACTTTTGCAGTCAGATGAGGGACTATACTTCATAATGAGTAGCTTTACAAAGTACTCATAAGTATCTGAGTATGAATACTTATAAGAATAACATTCAAAGCAAATGAGTACTTTTGCAAATTTTAGGGACTTCTCGTGAAAAAATTGAGTAACGAGTATGAGTACCTTACCAATTTTAAATAATTCTAGTTAGTGACTCAAGTTTAGAAAAAAGGAATAATGTAGTAAGTCAGTAAGTAAAGTTACAAACAAAAACAAGAGTACCACTTCTTAAATTCTATAAATTAGTTAACACTATGATTGTGTACTCGCCATTTTTAATTTTAATTATAAAGATAAAAAACTCTCAAAAGAACAGTCATAAATTTTAAAACATATTATGCTGCCATGATTCAGTCATTTGACATATTCTTATCTTTTCCATCGTATATCGCTGGGTCGATAAGTTATTTGGAATTGCCTTAGGATTGTGACGGCGATGGTAGTAAGATTTTAAAAATTGATGGAATTGTCAAATATATTTTGGGAAGATTGACAGAGAGAGGGTTTTAGAATTGCCAATTGGGAAATTTAAAAAAAAGGTCAGAAAATATTATATTGAAGTTGAGATAGATAGATAGATAAAAATAAATAAAAAATAAAAAAAGAAAGAATAAAAAAGAAAGAATAAAAAGAAAGATAAAAAAAGTTTTATTTAAATTAAAGATAAGTCTGAATGAAATAGGAAGGAAAACTTGGAAGGAGAATTCGTCGAGTAAGAGAAGTAAAGGAAAACAGTAAAAGGAGACCAATGGAGAACATCAGTTAGAGCAGAAAGCAGAAGAACTGGGAGCAAGAAGAAAGAAGCGAATCGGAAAATTTAGATTTTTTTTTTCAAATTCAATATTTATCGATTAGTATTATTTTTAGTTTTTTTTTTTTTTAATTTTTGTGGGCAGCCAAAGGTGCCATAATACTAAAAGCTCTAGGAAATTGGAATAGTTTAACCTTTCCAAGGTAGGATCATTATAATATACAGTATGTCCCCCTAAGTTGGAATCATATGGAAAACTTTTTTATTATTAATTTTAGGAAAAAAGTTATTCTTAATAAAAAGTCCTGCATGATCTAAAACATAAAATACAGTCATCAGATATCAAATTTTTTTAAGCCGTATACGAGATTTGTCAAAAAAATATGAATTTTGCTCAAGAGTAAAGTACGTTTATTTTTGACAAAATCGAAAATTTTCATTAAGAGAAGTTGATTAGAATTAAAAATTACATTTAAATATGCAATTACACCAATCTATCTGAAAAATCAGATTTTTTCTAGATTTTGCATTGATCCACCTAATTACGGTAATCCATAATTTTTTTCTCTCTCTTCTCTACTATAAACATGATTCGATTTTCTTTTCTTGATGTTTGTGAGGAATTTAGCAATTTTCTTGATGAAAATTTTCGATTTTGTAAGAAATAAACATACTTTACTCTTGAGAAAAATTCATATTTTTTGACAAACCTCGTATACGGCTTGAAAAATTTGATATCTGATGACTTTATTTTAAGTTTTGGGTCATGAAGGACTTTTTATCATGAATAACTTTTTTTCCTAAAATTAATAATAAAAAAGTTGTCCATATGATTCCAACTTACGGAGACATACTGTATATGCGCGCCTAGGTACTCGTACTCGTTACTCATCAGCTGAAGGAATAAGAAGTATTCTCTAAAAAGTCTAAAATATAAAGAACTCGTAATTTTTTGAGTATGAGTCCCATCAGGAAGGAAGTACTCACGAGTACCAATTACTGAGAATTTTGGGTAAAATTTACTCGAGTATTGCCCAGTATGTTTTATTGAAAAAATAAATAAATAAAACGCAACATTTTATTCCATTTGTTTGAATTTTTTCACTTTCGACAAGATCAGACCAAGATACCAATCGTGTAATTTTATAATTCTCCATCCATAGGAATAGTTCTCTCAGTTAATGCGCTACTATTTAAAGATCAATTCGAAATATCAGACTTTATCATAACTTCTGCTCATAAAGTCTTGTTCAGAGTAGGAGCATCGTGCGTCACGATGCGATAGCGTTGCGTCGAGCGACGCGTCGAGCGACGCGTCGTCGGTAAAATAACCTAGTATTACTAAACGCAAACCTTCACAGTGAGAGCGACCAGCGATGCGATATCTAACCTATCAATCGCGGCACTTGACGCAACGCTATCGCATCGCGACGCGCGTTGCTCCTTCTCTAAACAAGGCTTAAATCATTGAATACTAATGCTGCGTTTGAGAATCCACATCGGATGCATCTCAGATGTAAAAATCTTTGATCACGTGATTCAGTATACGTAAATGTAATGGGACAGATGTGTCTGATGTGGATAAAAAAACGCTCAAGATGTAAAAAATGCATCCGATGTGGATTCTCAAACGCGGCAAAAGTATAAAAAATAAGTAATTGGTTTAATATTGCTCAAAAATATAAAGTATATTAAAGGAAAATTACCGTAACCTGAATTAAATAGAAAATGAGGGAAAGCCAATCATTAGCTTTTTATAACGAAAAAAAAAAAAAAAAAAACAAAAAATATACACGTCTCAACATTTCATTTGGCTTTTTAAAAATAAATTGTGCTTGATTTGCCTGCTCAAATAGGTGATTATTTATAAACGAATATCAATACTGAGTACGAAAGATTTGGTACAATAAATTTACTGATTTAATCAGATTAGCTGCTTCTTCGTATTGTATGTATAGGATGTACCCTAGAAATTAGAAAAATGTTAATTTTTATAAAAACATTTAAATATGAGATTCAATAAGTCGATTTACATTAAGAAACCGGTAACCTCGAATATAAAAAATAGGTAATAGTTTGCAATTTTGTTCTAAACGAAATTTAAAATAAAAAAATACTTTTAAATCTTGTCAGTTTTCAAATACTGTTATAATTGTTTAACATTTGTCTTAAGGTTTTGTCACACATCGAGCTGTTGAATAAAAGAGAGTTGAAGTGATGCTACAAACGTAAACGTGAAAATTGCAACTACACATGCACATTCAAATATCACGTTCACATCTACATACATACATACGGGCTCGTACGTATACTCGTAATGTAAACAAAATGACATGTGTTTTTTAATTTTAAAAGAAATTCTAATTAATTATCATTGTCTGTCTGGGCACGTAAATATCAAGATGCGTTTAACAACTTCAACTAATATTTTGGACTTAAACGTAGTGTTATTTTTGTGCGTTTACGTCAACGCAAACGCATCGCAAACACTTCAACTCTCTAATTTAGAACCAACCATATTTCAAGCTTTGGTTTCCGTCACAAAAAATATTCCGTGCAGTGCAGTCGAACTGGTTTTGAAGAGAGAGTTGATGCTTACACCCTAATTTGAATTTGTGGTAGGGTCATATTTTAAGCTATAAACAATAGCCGTCAGCATGGATGACCAGTGTTTTTCGAAAGTGTAGGTATTCACATTTCTTATTTAAATCTAATATAAACATCGGCCTCAGGTAAATTTTTAAGATAAAATTTTTCATTATTTAGGTAAAAATACTATTCTAAATGCTTGTTTATGTAGTGCGGAAAAAGTGTGAAAATATGTCTTCTGAAGAGAAACACAATTCGACTGGAGCAGCGTTCCTTAAAATGTGTTCCGCGAAACTTGTATGCTTTTTCTTAACAACATTCAAGAAAGTAACTTAAAAAAAATAACGCTTCTAAGAAACTAAATCTCTCACCCACTTATTAATCTGGATACAAATAATATTTGAAGTAATTGCCAACCATACTATTGAAACAAACCAGGAGATCCAAGATAAAATTGGAAATTAAAAAGGGTTTCATTTATTAAAAATATTAAAAGACGGTCGACTAGAAAGTGTTCATGGCCAGGTGCAACATCCAGATCACCCATAGTATAGTTACAAAATCATAAAGACAAATGGCTAGAAAAAGAAAACGGTAGTAAGAATATATCCACACTCGTGCTTTCTGACTATATCTATTTTCACTGCAATGCTCGCAGCATTTTTCTTTCAACGTTGTTTGACATCACCGTCTGTTTTATTACGGCCGTTATATAACGGTACCGCTTTCTAGAAAACCAAAGCTTAGGGTCCATTTTTACTAAACCTGGCCTGGGTGAATGCGTCCTTGAACGAAAATCGAAGTTCGGATATATCACGGTAATTTAAAGATGGAAAGTAACAAATCTGTAAATATATAGTACATATACGAATTTGTTACTGTTCATCTCTAAATTCCACAGCAATGCTGAAAACACCTGCAACACTAGAGTGGTTATACCTGAATTTCGATTTTCGTTCAAGGGCGCGCTCAGCCTGACACAGTTTATAAATATGAGAGATAAAAAATAAAACTAATAGTTCAAGTGGTCCAGTCAAGCTAAGTAGTATTTTTTATTAAAACATCAAAAATAACCTCAAGTCAAATGAAAAACTTTAATAACCGAACATAAAACAGTCTAAAGTCAGTTATGGCTTTTTAGGCTACTACAGCTTTGAGAATCTTTAATAATCGGCACCGATTCTCTTCTAGTTTCTTTCGAATGAATTTTTTCCTGTTTTAATGGCACGCTTTCTCGCCTAATGTGAGAGATAAAAGTCGGTGTATTGGCGGAAATGTTTGTTTGCGGAACTCCGAAAGTAGAAAATTCCTTCTTATTGGTTACCTCCTTAATGGAACTCAGCGTTTTGCTCAACCACGGCGGCCAGCTGTTTTTCGCTGTCGTCAGTTCTAGTTCAGTTGCTCGCAGTTGGTGTGTCAAATTCTACAGACAAAAAAAGTTGCGATATAATTATTGTTTCTCTAAGAAGTCTAATAATATGGTGCTATTTGTGACAAAACAGCTATAAAAATGATTCTGTAGGGGGCTAAGTGTCACACGCTGAATTATTAGTAAATTGAAAACTAAAATACTAAAAACGTAATCCAAAATTAGACTATGCAAAAGGGCACTATTTTCAAAAAAGTGATATTGGTACCATTGCATAGAGAGTAACGTGTACTACAATATGACCGCAAAATATAAAAAGTCCCTTTACAAATTACGTAGATGTATTATTTTAAACAATTAAAAACATTGGAGCGTGTGGTCCTAAAAAAAAAGTAAAAATGCGATTTTCTAGGTTTTATCTCAGGAAAAAATTACAAAATTAGCTAAACAATCTTTCAAAACAATATAAGTTTCTAAAATGTGTATAGATAATAACAAAAAAATGTCTTATGATAATCAACTTATGGCAATTAATATAAAACACATCAATTAAAACGGCTGCCACGGGGTGATCTGCCCTCACGTAAACGCTTGTTGATTGTACATTGCTTCGCTTTGTCTGTCTCTGTTAAACATGTTGTTCTAGTGTATATCTGATTTAGTCGTAAAATCACTATGTAAAATAAGGTGTGTATTCTGTTTGTTTCGACTATAGCAGCAGCCATTTTATTACAAAATTTCCGATCGAGAACCAAGTAAATTATTACAAGGAAGACCGACTACATATCTAATTCAGAAAGTGATTAGTTCAATTCAAAATAAAATATTAAGAACAATGAACAATGTATAATTAGCAAAATAGTGCCCAAAATAAACTTTATTAAAATTAATTAAAGATTGACTGGCCAGTTGGTTTTGAAACCAGTGCCAAACAGAAATACATACACACACACACACACACACACACACACACACACACACACACACACACACACACACACACACACACACACACACACACACACACACACACACACACACACACACACACACACACACACACACACACACACACACACACACACACACACACACACAAAATAGTGCCCAGACAAAAAAAGTTTTATTACATTTGTTAACTCTACAAAAGTTAGGGATAATATTAATTAACTATCAGATCCTGATATTTATTTATTTGTACAATATACAACAGGGTAATCCCCAATTACAGGAGAAGGTGAAAAACTATATAATTTTGGAAAATAACAGTTGAATATAAGGAAACATACGATTCCACCCACAGAATAATTTTAAATCATTAAATTAAGAGGAGAAGCCATAACTATATTAGTCCTAGTAGTATTTTGATAGAATACCTGAATTTTGTGTAAAAACAACTATAAGTATTGAAGCGATTATAAAAATACCCTTGAGGAATACCTCTCAGTGGATAGTTACCATCAATAGCTTGACATACAGCTTTGTAGAAACGTCTTTGTATGCGTTCAATTGAAGATATCTGAATATTATAAATAAAATTTCAGATAATTTTACCATATTTCAGCTTAGATCGTACAAATGCAGAATAAAGTAGATTCATTGTAGAAAAATCTTTAAACATTTTCATATTTCGGATTACAAAATCTAATAAACGGTAAGCATTAAGCATTAGCGGTGATTTTGTCAATATGTGCATTAAATATATTATTAAAAAGTAGGATGAAAAGCAGACCCTTGCGGTACTCCAGAAGTTTGGTAAAAATTGTGATTTATGTCCAAGGCACTAAACAGATTGAAGACGATTCGACAGAAAAGATTTTAAAAGTTTTAGCAGTGATACATACATTTCCATGCTTTCTAATTTAATAAGCAGTCGTTTACGATCATTTCTTTTGAAAGCTTTTGAAAAGTCAGTGTAGATTACATCTATTTGACTTCTCCAGTGCCTCAGATATAATTTGTGTCTTGCAGAATAAATTGGTTATAGTGGACGTTCCTGCTGATTTGAAATAATTATTTGCCTGAGTTCAAAAAAAAAAGGTGATTGTGGATAACTATTTCGAATACCTTTAAGATTGTTATTGGTCCATAGATGGAAATGTTGTTCTTGCCATTTTTTTAAATTAGGCATATATAAGAGGTTTTCCAACAATTTGGAAAATAACTACTTTTTAAAATGAAGTTAAAAATCGTAGTTAAAGGTTTTGTTAAAATTTGTGCAGTCTCTAATTAGAAAAGCTGGTATGTTATCGATCCCAGCAGCCATGTTTGGTTTTAACTTTTTTAATGCATCCAATACTTCTTACCCAGATTATTATAAGTCATACTATTGGTATTAAAGATGAAGTTCCGCGTTTTGAATTCACTAATGACCAGAACGACTTGGGATTAAGTTTTACGTTTTCCTCTGAGGATCTTAAAAAAGTATCGTAGGCTGTTTTGATTTTTTCTTTAATGTCAGATCTGTAAGTAGCGAAGTTAGCGTAATTATATTCGTTTTTGTTGGCTTTATATTGTTTCGATAGCTTATGTTTAATTTTAATTGTATTAATATCTGCGTTACACCACTGTGGGTAGTGTACTTTGGTTGATCTTTTCTTTGAACATGTAACTCAAAAATTTTATTATATTTTTTATATAACAGCTTTACCTATCATCCACATTATTACAATTACATAGATAGGGCCAATCAGATACAAATACACTTTGAAACGATCGAGGAAAGTTTGTCTTTTTAAAATTATAACCGCAAGATTGATATTGGAGATAAATATGTGTTATGTACAAAAGGTATTTCTATAGTGAGGGCAGGGTAATGGCTGTTAGTTGGAAGTAGAACGTAGATGGCTCTCTCCACTTTACATGAACGTCCATTTGAAAGAACTAGATCAAGTAAACGACAAAATCATTTGTATTCATTAATTTGGAATTACCGATTGAATCAACGAGCCAGGTTTCAGAGAAAGCTATTATGTCATATCGTACCGAAATAGCAGACTGACAAAGATCTTGAGTTTTTGTTCTAATACCTTGCACATTTTGGTCGTAAAGAGTGACAGATTTTCAGTTTTGTGCTTTCGAGTCGTTATGTGATGGCTACATATTGGAAAGGATGTTTGATTTAAATTTTGATAGAGTTAAATTATATACGTGACATTTTGTATTAAGTGCAGTACGATTGGCTGAAACAGCTATTCGTTGATTTATTATAATTGTGACAATTAATACAATATTCAACGGTTCTCGGACAGTTTTTTAGTTGATGGTTTTGGGCACATATAGGATACATAAAAATAGACCATTTACAAAGTCTGGACGAATGATGGTAACCACAACATTTGAAGCATCTCCTCAGATCAATTGCGTCATAGATGGTACAATAATCATAGCCGAAGAAGAGTTTTTCCTAAAGCAATACATTTTTGTAGGTAGATATATCATACTGAATAACTGCCTGGGCCTCAATTCTCGACTTTTTTGCCATGAAAAGTATGAGAGCAAATACACTCGGTATTTGACATGGGAAATCAAATTTCCAATGGGAATATTAATAATGGTTTCTACTGAATCAAAGTTCATCTGTCGCCAGTAAAATTTTTCATTTTCTTGTTACTTTAAATAATATTATTTCTAATATGAACCTTGTTTTTTAAAATGGATGAAGCAATTTTACTTCTCCAATTAAATCATATAAAACCGACAGAACGGAGAGCAAATAATTCACTAAGAAATTTTTGGACTAGGTCGAAAAATGAGGCAGAAGATCCCTTTGGAGCTGTAAATGAAACCAAAATTATTTAGACTATCAAAAGAGGCGGCCTCTGATCTACTAGCATATGGAAACAATAATAGATTCCCCATTTTTCTTTTTTGAGTCGCTGACAAATTTTTTGCTTGTATCCATCATTATATCTATCACTACAGTTATTTTTTTAACGCAAGAAAAGAACAAGAATCAGAAAATTACATTATTTATTATCATTAATATGACAAGAATCAATGAACCCCAACATAACTTGAAAGTATTGAAATATCTTGATTATTATTGATCAGTTTCCAATATTTTCATATTTAATACCAGATATACGTTGAATATACGAATAATCAAAATTCCCAAAGGAATTAGATTCCTAACCTAGTGAAGAATACCGTTTTATAATACCACTGGAAAATAAGCAGTGCAAGTTTTACCCATGGGAAAATTTTTCCGTGAAGTCGAGAATCGAGGCCCTGATGAAGTTTGTTATTTTTCTTAAGTGGAAAATGGGAAATAACTGTTAGATCACCAATTATTTCATTTTTATTTTGAATTTTGAGACAATTTATTATTTCTTCATCAGATAGTTTTTTAGACATGCCAACAATTTTGAACCTAGGATTTAAAACTGGCATTTCCTTAATGGTGTAGGTTTTGAAACAGAGTCTTGTTTGATTTTCGGCTTGATTAATTATGAACGATGCTTTTTCAAGACTTTGTTGAATTTAAACTGGTTGAAAGGATTTTTGGTAAAATATTTTTATTGATATTCACAACGCTATTGACTATGGGTAAAGCGGCTAGCACAAAAAGTGTTACATTAGTTATTTAAGTAAAAAAAAAAAAATGCTGGCGTGCCACCAGATCCTGTAGTGGACAGAACACTTCGAAAAGGAACGTTTGACTTAAAAAGGTGCGTTTTTTTACAAAAAAGTTTCTCACAGGTAATATCAAAAAACATTAAAAACAAAATTAAACATATTGCTACGTTTTCATCTGATGTCCTACAAATAATATGAACAAACGATTTAATAGCAATGGAAGCTAAATATCACCCAGATTGTCTGGTAATCGCTTTGAGAAAAGATAAATGTCTATTTAAAAATTCAAATGAATCTTTAAAGAAGAACGTTGTTAACGAAAAACCATTCCAACACATATTACAATATGTAAAAGCATGAACGGAAAAATAAAAGTGCTTTTTATTGCATTCCGATGTAATTTGAATCCGAATGACCTGGCATTACTGTATGGTACACACGTAATATTTGCGGGACTTGCTTTCTTCTTCTAAATG